AAACATACTTTGGGGCAGCAATAAAGGTGGCATATTTGGAGAATCGGTCCACAATAGTTAAGATAGACCCGATGTCTCCCACTTTAGGCAATCCAGTGATGAAGTCAAGTGATACACTTTCCTACGGACGTTTAGGCACAGGCAAAGGTTCAAGCAAGCCTGCCTTCTTCTTATGCTCAACCTTGTCTTGCTGGCAAGTGAGACAAGTGCGAACATATTCTTCCACATCATCACGCATTTGGGGCCAATAATATCCTTGTTTCACCAAGGCCAAAGTTCGCTCTCACCCCGGATGTCCTACCCAAAGTGTATCATGGCACTCCCTAAGAAGTGTCTTTCTCAAGTCACCAGCCCTAGGTACAAATATGCGGTTGCCTGTTGTCGTAAGAAGTCCATCTTGCACCCAAAATTGGCGAATCTTGCCCATTTTGCCAAGGTTCATAGATTCTCTGCCATAGCATCCTTGTTTAGATGATCCTTGATTTTCTCCTTGAGGCTGGTTGAAATAGAAGTAAGTGAACATACATGATGGCACACGGCAAGCTCTGCCTTCCTGTTTAGTGCATCAGCAACATGGTTGGTGGCATCGGCCTTGTATTCTAAGGCAAAATCAAACTCTGCCAACTTTTCTTGCCACCGTGCTTATCGTGCGCTTAGCTTGGGCTGTGTTAAGAAATGGCTAATCGCCGTGTTGTTAGTCTTCACAACAAACCATGAGCCCAAGATGTAGTGCCTCTAAGTCCTCAGACAATGCACTACTACAAGCAACTCTTTCTCATGAGCTGGACATCTCTGCTCGGCATCATTGAGCTTCCTACTCTCATAAGCAATTAGGTGACCATCCTGCAAAAGAACACCACCCAAAGCAAAATCAGATGCATCAGTTTGTATCTCAAAAGCTTTACCTAAGTCTGGTAGAGCAGGAACATGGTCTTTTGACATAGCTTCTTTCAAGGCTTGAAAGGCTTGTTGGCACTCCTCTGCCCAAACATATGGCTTGCCTTTCTTTATCAACTCTGTCAATGGGGAAGCTAGCCTTGAGTAGCCTTCAACAAACTTGCGATAATAATTAGCCAATCCAAAGAATGACCGCAACTCTGAGACATTTGCAGGTGGCCGCCACTCTTGAATAGCCTTGACCTTCTTTTGGTCCATTTTGATGCATTCATGCTCAACAATGTGCCCTAGGAACTTAATCCTCTCTTGGGCAAAAAGAACACTTCTCTAGCTTGACATAAAGCTTGTGCTCTCTCAGCGTGGTAAGGGCCTTCTGAAGATGCTCCACGTGCTCTTCTAAAGTGGAGCTATAGATTACAATGTCATCCAAATATACTACCACGAATTAATCCAAATACTCTTGAAAAACTTCATTCATCATGGTGCAAAATGTTACTGGGGCATTGGTCAAGCCAAACGGCATGACAAGAAACTCATAAGAGCCATAACGAGTAACACAAGTAGTTTTAGGCTCGTCTCCCTCGGCAATTCTTACTTGATAGTACCCCGATCGAAGATCTAGCTTTGTGAAATACCTCGCTTTGCTCAATTGATCAAATGAATCTGCAACGAGAGGAAAGGGATACTTGTTCTTGATGGTCAGCTTGTTAAGTGCCCGATAATCCACACACAAGTGAAGACTACCATCATGCTTCTTTTGAAATAAGATAGGTGCATCGAATGGGGCCTTAGATGGCCTGATGAAGCCTGCTTCCAATAACTCTGTAAACTGATTCTTTAAACTCATTCAACTCAGGAATAGCCATTCTATATGGTGCACGAGCTGGTGGCTTTGCCCTTGGCACCAACTCGATAGCATGATCCACATCTCGGCATGGAGGCAACTCCTTAGGCAACTGTTCAGGCATAACATATGCAAATTGCCTTAAGACCTTTTTGATTGTGGCTGGGACATGAGTAGATTCAAGAGCTTCATTCAACTTTAATGCAGCAACCCAATTTTGCTCACCATGCCTAACACCCCTCTTGAGTTGCATAGTTGAGACAAACCGTTCACTATTGTTGGTGGCCATAGTAGGAATGAGACATGGCTTATCCCCCATGACACACGTACTATTAGAATAAGGCATGACTGCCGTCTTTGTGCTTCTCAAGAAATCCAATCCAAGGATGGCTTGGAAGTCATCCATGGACACTGCGGTGAAATCTACTCTTCCTTTCCAAGTGCTGACCTTCAAATGAACAGATTTTGCAACCTCATAGATAGGCTGCGCTGCCGAGTTAACCGCCTTGATGCGATTACCATCCTTCTCTAAAGATAGCCCAAGTCTTTCAACTTCAGTCCCCATAACAAAGTTGTGGGTGGCCCCTGTGTCAATCAAAGTATGAAGGGGCCTCCCATTGAGTTTTACATCCACAAACATTAAACCTTTGTTGGATGACTTGCTCTTGTTCAACTTGCCTGATGATTCCCCACTATACATGGGTTTCTTCCCTTTGCCTTCATTTTTAGACTCCACAAGTTGTTTAGGACTTGAATGCTTGCCCACTTTGCCACTCTTGGCGTTCTTCTTAGGCCTCCCTGTAGAAGCCTTCTTCTCCATGGCATTCATCATATGAAAGGCTCTCACTCTAGAGCCAGCTGCCTTAGAACCCTTGCCACTTTGCCTAGAACGCACGTCTTCTTCCTCGCTATCATTATCACTTGGTTGAGAGACATGGTCAGACACAGTTGCTAGAGCATTCAAGGCACGCTTTTGTGGACATTCAGATAACCGATGTGGCCCATCGCATAAGAAACAAGAGATAGGACCTTTTGTTTTGCTTGTAGAGAATTGTTGAGGGGCTTTTGCCTTGTCACCATGGCTCTTCTGTTGCCATTGTCGTCCACCCGAATGGGTTTTGGATGTAGAAGTGTTGGCTCCCCCACTCTTAGGTTTGCCATGGCCTTGGGACTTTCCACCTCCCCTACTCTTGCGTAGGGAACCACTATCCCGTTGCTTAGGTTCGGTGTAGTCCGCAAGGCATTCAGTTGCTGCTTGTGCATGGGCTAAATCTTGCACTCTTTGCTTTTGAAGTTCAACTCTGGCCCATGGCTTCAATCCCACAAGAAAGAAGAAGAGCTTGTCTTTCTCTGACATATCTTTGATGTCTAGCATAAGCCCAGAGAATTCTTTCACATAATCTCTTATAGTGCCGGTGTGCTTGAGATCCCGCAAAGCACGCCGGGCATTATACTCAACATTTTCAGAGAAGAATTGGAGCTTAAGTTCATGCTTAAGTTGCTCCCAAGTCTCAATTGTGCATAAGCCACGTTGCATCTCATCATGTTTAGTTCGCCACCACAACTTGGCATCACCGGACAAATACATTGTGGCCATAGAAATCCTTGTCTCCTCAGCATCGGCTTTCACAGCGTTGAAATATTGCCCCATGTCAAAAAGAAAGTTGTCTAGCTTCTTGGCATCTCGGGCGCCACCGTAGGCACGGGGCTCGGGCACACGCGCCCTAGTGAATTCCATGCCACCACTAGGTGCATTGCCAAAGGCACGGGTAAGAACACCAACCCGGCCACTGAGGTCTTCAATCTTTAGCCTGAGTTCAGTGACAACATCCTCAAAATCTTGCCCTTGAGTAGGGCCATGAGTTTGCTTAAGATCATAAACCCGTTGCTCAAGGGTGGCTAATGAAGCTTCCATGGCCTCCATGTTGTCCATACGCTGCTCCAAGAGCTCAATTCTCTCCCTTTGTGTGGGTTGACGGTTGCCAGTACCCTCAATTTAGAAAGCCAATAATAGAGAAAGCCAAATAGACTGGACTCTGATACCAACTGTCACACACTGGCAATGCGGAAGCCTTGTTGAAGATAAGCAAGTGTGTGTAGCGCTAGTTAACTCTCTTCACTAACCCGCCAAGAATGCTCAAAAGGTTTGCAAAGACAAGCAAACACAATATTAGTTAAGTTGATGAGCCACAAGATCGGAGACAAGCCACAAAATAGCAATCAACAAGCTAGAATTAAAGTAGCAACAATTGAAAGGCTTTGCACAATGTAAATGTGAAATGAACTTTTCATTACTCAAAAGAAGGCATTACAATAGTTGAACAATGCACTAAAAGTGCTACAAAAGTTGTCTTACCATAAGCTAAGTTGGGGTACATTAAAGGCACAAGGTCTGGTTCAACACTTGGGTACCCCCTCCTTATATATAGCTTGTTAAGCAATTTCCTAGCTAGCAGGAGGAAACATCCACTATGTTTGAGGAGTCATAATGGATTTTTAAAAATTCTACAAAAATAGAAAAATTACAACTCTTGGTCCCAAAGAACATTTAATACTAAGGTATTTACATAAAAATTTACAAGGCGAAAAGATTACATTTGACCCTCTAAAAGTTGACCTAAAGTTGCTACTTGGTGGCTAGCTCGTTTCATGGCATGTCTTGGACAATCTTCCACTATTCCTTGGGCCCTTGCTTGCACTTACACCAACAACTTCTTAGGCATGTCTTTGGCTCTCCAAAGGGCACAAATGTGTGTGGCAACAAGGTGTTGACCCTTGGATGGGCGCACCTTGACACCCAACCACCCCTCCATTGGCACCCTCCGTCCCTCTCTCTCTCTCTCTCCACCCGAGACCACCATTCATGGCTGCACCTCACAGCCATAAAGCCCCAACAGCCCCTCATCCTCCATCACACCACCAACCAAGCAAGTAAACATCATTGCCTCCCTCTCTTTTCTCAACCCATGGCGAACCAGTGGCCACCAAACAACTACGCAGCAAACCCCAAAGCCACATAGCTCAAAACCAATGGAACATATGAGATTATATTGGGATAACAAGGTAGCTACTATTATTAACATAGCTCAAAACCCAATGCAACATAACAGAATGAAACACAATGAGGTGGACAGACATTTCTATTTTTGTGAAGAAATTTTGTTGCACCAGAATTGATGGTTTTCAATAACGGATTACAACAAATAACATAATTCTGGGCCTAGAATAACAATGATTGGATGTCTAGAAATTAACAAACCTGAGATTCATAATAAAGCCCAGCGTATAAAGAAGCATAGAAGTATTCACTCTCCTGACCTCTTGAAAATGCAGCAACAAGCTACACAGAAAAACTCAAATGAAAATTTTGAAATAAATGCTATTGACATACATAAAAATTCAGATATTAAAGTGAATTTAAACCTTCTTAATGAGAGTGCACAAGTTGCATTGCTTTCTATTAGATCAAGCTTTTTGAGTACTCACTTTTATCAAACCTAAGGTGTCGTTTTCTGTTCATTATGTCTCCCAAACAGTAGTAAATTTCTAATGACAAGATAAATCACCCATGATGGTCAGCTCGAATAGTAAGTCAATCAGGTTCTATCCAGGAGGTTTTAGGTTCGAGTCCTGATGTCCTATTTAGCCGATATGTGGGGTGAGTAAGAGGTTGCACATATCCCAAGTTTGTGCTCCCTAGGGTGGGTCCAAAGGGCCCTGCCTAGGCTCAGTTTTCGGTTATCAAAAAAAAAAAAAATTCAAAATAAATGGATCCTAATAGCAGGAAAAAAGTTCTCTGGTAATTATTTTGTAAACAGAGGAAACCTTTGATGTTTTCTTACAGAGGAAAACAACTTACGTGGATCTTAAAAATTCAATCAGCACCTAAACATTCATAAAACTGACAAATCAACCTGTTACACCAACGGAATCATAATAATAAGCCATGAAACTCAGTCAATTTTGGCATCTAAAAAATTGAAAGATAAGCATCAGACCAACAAAGATTATGAGTAGATGACAGATTGAGGAAACAAGAGTCAACATTAAAACAGTGACTCATGCATAGAAAGTCGACTTGGATAAACAGGAAACTTATTTATAGACATTCTAACAAAGATGAAATACCGAGAAGCGGATTTTCCTCTAGCTTTGCAGAAATTTGATTTCTAAGACCACAAATGACATGTCTTTAAACCTAATCCTTTCTTTGCAGCAAAAAAAATAAAATAAAATGAAAATAAAAGAAAATAAACTTGCTTGTAAATGCTCATTTTCTTTTCATTTATGCAGATCACACATCCTTCTAAGCTGAAGATTAATCTACTCATCATTCATCAAATATACTCAGGAAATTGCCTCTAACAATATTGTGGCCTCTGCCTTCTGGACAAGCTCAAACCATACCTAGTTTTGTTTGGGCCTATTTGGTGCAACTTATTGAGGCTGCTTATGGTCTTTTTTATATTTTGGAAATATGTGCCAGAATGTTTAAAAACAGCTAAAATAAGCTGAAAAAAACTGATTATTGAGAAGTTGGGGAAGAGATGCTTTTAGCCTTTTTGATTATCAACTTTTTGATTACAAAAAAGTTGCACCAAACAGGCTAATGTATTGGATGGATATGCACGTAAAGAACTTGTCAAAACTAATTACCATGCTGCATGATTGTACTGACTGTTGAGCAATAAATGCTTTCATATATGAGGAGGAATCTTCGAAGTGCTTAAAATTTCTGAAACTGAAGCACATGGATATCCAACCCATTAACGAGTTCGAGCATTTCATGTTTGGAGTAGTTCATGGCAACGATTGGAACGCTTGATGAAGCTAACTGAAGGAATTATTCAGCTCACTGAGTAAAAACTCCATGATCTTAATCAGATTATATCTCTCCTCTCATATACCCTTTACCGCTGTACATATGCTTGGCTCAGTCCAATGTCTAAATACAATCAAGAGAGAAGTTACAAAGAATACGCAGCTCTTTGAGCGATGCACACTAATTAGGAGGCATTGCTGGAGCCTGGAGCCACTTTGGTTTTCTCCCTCTCAACTTGGTTATTTTGTCTACTTAGTACAATCATACACGTGTGTCGCACACGTGTGCATACATGCACTACTATGTGTGTGTGTGTGAGAGAGAGGGAGAGAGGTCATTATTCAACTCACAAGCTACTGAACTAGTTTCAATTGGAATATCTGAGTCAAAGCATCAAGCAAACCTTTTCTGGATCACCACCATCTCTAAACATGTTGTAAGCTTCCCGCATGACAGGTCGTGGATCTCTGCCCACCTACATTATTTAGCAACCAGTCAAAATAGTAGTATTGACCCTCCATGTAATAACATGGAAGTGAAGTCAATTTTCATGAAATAGTCTGAAATAGAAAAAGACAGTGAAAAGATATATATCTACTTGTATTTCATATGATATCCATTAGGGACTGAATTTTAAGCATAAGGCATATTTCACAACCTGCTTGATTAGGTTAGTTTAAAGATTACTTATTAGACAAAAAATAGTGTGCAGATAAGCCTATCTCATACTGTCATACATCAGTGATTTTACATCATGATGATTAAGAGAAGGTAGCACAAAGACATGTAAATCAAGACGTGTGAAAATGTTAATTCCTATAAGCAAACTCACTCACATCTAGATTCCATAGCCTACCTACAACTATCTGTTTCACCATTCTAAAAATTCTATAATATTGTTGCCTGTTCTTACCTCAAGATATCGTCTCCTTGCTTCATCAATTCCATATAATTGAGCTTCACAGAGAAAGCACCATATTGACTCTTCTGTATCATTTGGATTTTGCGCTACATCTAACCGAAATTGCTCTGCCCCTTCCTCAAACCTAAACAGAAACACAACACTTTAATCCCGTCACATTTTATATTAATAAAAGAACAAACAATCAACCCAGACCTGGTAAGAAACTAATACCTATCGAGATAATATAGTGATAGCCCCCTCTGCCAGAGATCTGATTACCCAATTACACAAAAATTACATTATTATGTAAACAAATGTTACTCGATTCTTCATGCAAATTTTCATCCAAGAAAATCCTAATTATAAAGTCACTATTCATTTTTACAAATGATGGGGAAAAGTGATAGTCATTCAGATTTGACCCAAAAAAAAGAAAGAAGAATTAAGTTTGCATTTGGATTTAGGGATTTCAAATGAAAGGGATTTTATATTGATTATTTGAGGAGAATAGCTCAAATTTAGATATTAATTTTCAGATTGAATTTGAGAGCTTTAGCATGATGAATTATGATGGATTTAAAATGACAATGTGAAAGTAATTATTTGATGCAGGAGGCTTCTGCCATTCATTCTAGGTTTGGAGAGGGTAAGATGTACATAGCCTTTCCCCAGCATATGGAGAGGATGTTTCTATGGTTTGAACTTGTGACACCTAGGTCACAATATAGCAACCTTACTCTTGTGCCAAAGTCTTCCATTATTTGAAATTCTTTCATTCAAAGGTGTTAAAATTTATCACCTACTTCACCCACTTAAACCTACTCCACTAAACCTAACCCACTACACCCACTTAAACCTACTCCACTAAACCTAACCCACTACACCACTACCACCTCACCTACTCCACTAAACCTAACCCACTACACCACTACCACCTCCACTTCACCTACTTCTTACCTACTACACACTCACCCTCTTCTATATATAGGAATCATGATTTATTGTAATAAATATCAATATATCAATCAATAATAATACATACAATTTATTCTCTCTCTTTCTCTATACATTATTTCTTACAAAAGGATTATAATAAAATATTGCTCTTCTTGCTCTACTCTATCTTCCTTCTTAGTTACTTAACTATCAATAATAATAGGCAACTCTCCTATATTTTTATAAACTTCAACTTCAAATCCCTTCATTTGAAATCAATCTATCCAAACCGAACCTAACAATCTACTTAAATGGTAATCATGGTCTGTGAGGATTTTTCGCCGAAGCTAACAATGTATGTAAAGATTCATCTGAAAACTGCATATATATTCAACAATTTTACCATTCAATTCAATTCAATTCAAAGCAAGTGACCACCAACAACAATCCATTGATTTCAAAACAACAAAAAATAAATTTTAGGGGGGGAAGACTTACATGCCTTCTGCCGAGGATCGAGCTCGATTGCCCTATCAAATTCCGCTAAAGACCCAGCAACATCACCCTTCAATTCACACAAACAAGAAGTACACAAATCATTCAAGTAAACATACATAACTAGAATTGAGAATTAGCCGAGAATGGGAAGGAAAGTGTATATACAACCTGTGTGAAAAGCACCATTCCTCGTCGGACGGCGATTAGGGCTTCGCGGCCCGAACCACCGCCACCGCCTGTTAGGGCATCGAAGAGGCCAGAAACTGAAGGGATGAACAGTCTCCGGGAGAGTGTCGGTGGTGCGAAGATTTGGTGATCGTGAAATTGTGAAGTTGAAGTGTGGAAGAAGGGTGAGGGTGAGTTGTTAGGGGGTTTGAGTGAGAATGGAAGTGAAGAAGTGAGGGAAGATTGGTGAGAGCGGGAGGTAATGGAAATGGGAATGGTGGGTTTGGAGGAGGAGTAATTTAACGCCATTGGCAGAGGAGAAGATGATGATGAACTGATAAGGCGCGTATTTTAGTGGGAGTAGTGAAAGGTAAGGGCGCCAAATACAACTACCTTTATTTCATGAGTTAATGAAAGGACCCGGATCCCTTTGCCCGCACCACATTTCGTTCCGATTATTCAAATGTTGATTTTATCGACCCTTTCGTGTTATTTATAAAAATAATTAACGCTCGTTTGGGTAAAAAAAAAAAAATGTACTTTTTATATTTGGTATAATAAAAAATAAAAAATAACGAAAAACACTTTTTAAAATTTTCATGGTCAATCAAAAATAAATTTATATGAATCACTACAACAAAAATATATTTTAGTGACACTATACTAGTGGCATGTTCTTAAAAAAATATCATAAAAAGAATATTTGGTGGCATATTTTAGAAAAATGTCACAGAGCCACAAACATACAGGGCTCTAGTGGCATGTAAATTTAGAGTTATGGTTTTGAAGGCATGACTAAATAGATTTAGAAACATAAGCAACCATAATAGATTCAGAAACATAAGTAGCCAAAGACTGTAGAAAAACAAATATATTAAGAATTGTGTTTATTGTACGTGCACGTGTGGAGCAGGCAAACGTTTGCAGCAGTATGAATTTCAACATGTGTATTACATGGATGAATGGTCATCACTAATTAACAAATTTACGTACCACTGCCAATTGCAATGGATAGAGTTAATTGGCATAAAAAATTAATTTAACAAAATTTAGGATTTAGCATGTCGACAATTCCCTTAACACAAAGCATGTGCCAGATGCCTAGATTAAGTGTACCAGCCCAAATGTCCAAGGGACATTGGGATCCTCTTGTGTTGGTAACATTGAGACACAGCACAAGAAGTGAGCAATAGGTTGCTTCGGGTGTATGTCAAGAGCAATATTACGGGGCTTTAAGTGATAGGTGTCGAGTGTGTTTGTTGTATAAATGGTATCTCTAGTTAAGTGTCTCGGGTCAAGTGTGTATTTGTGCTTGTGAAATTTCCGAGTGTGTACTTGAGTGTATTTTCTTTTCTTACAGAAGTGTTTTCCTAATGTGTTTTCAAGAAATCTCACAACCTACCAAACAACCTCTAAATTGGAGTTTTTAAGCAATATGAAAATGGTAATCTCTAAATGGAATAAAATAGACTCCATTGGACTTCCAAAATAAGTCATTCATTTCAATTCCATATAAGATGCCCCCTAAAAAAATGCCCCTGTTTACTTGCATGATCAAACAGAGTTTTCACTAAAAACCAGCTTAAACCTTAGGGACAAGAGCATTCTAGCAGGTGTACATATTGTGAAGACAAGGATAGCGTTATAGGCTAAGAGCAGTCTAGCAGTTGTGCATTACACAGTGCATGATTTTGTTTATAATCTGCAACAGGTCAGACATAGCTTGAGGTGAAGGGTGCATGACTTTGTTGTTGCTATGGCCTTTTACTGTTTTTTTTTTGCTGTCAAGTGTTGTACCTGCTGTGTGATAGTAGTGTTTTGACATAGCAGTTGCACCCCAGAAGTTCACTCAGCACCTGTACATCTCCTCTGCTTCATACACCAGTACCTATCAATAGCCCCATCACGTCTCACTTGATACATCTCCTGATCCTGCATTCTCAAGCTACTACCAGTTCATACTTGTATTTCCTATCGCTGACAACAATCAGCAGCAAGTAGAATTAATCAGCCGCAGCAACAATCAGTAAAAGTTTTTAGTGAAAACTTTGCTGCTGCTATGTTAGGATATTGAATTTGTGGAGGTAAAATAAAAGAGAGGGAAAAAGTGAATGAACAAGCATTAGATGGCATTAGTTAGAGAGATTATAACTTACCCACAGCTGGTAATGCTTTGTGGTCCTATCCATTCCTAGTTAACATTAGCTGATGTTCATTTAGTGTATTAACATTAGATAGAGAGATTAGAACTTACCAACAACTAGCCAAACCTGTAACAGTTAGCTTACAGAATAACATATAAAATCCTTACCTGGAGCGAGATATTTTTTTTTTTTGGGTAAGTAAGTCATAAATTAAAAACAAAAAGTTTACACAACATACAAGGGGCATGCTCCAGGGCCTACCCAAGACTATACATTAGAAAACCAAAGAAAAATGGACTGCAACATGGTAGACCCATCCAAAAGATTTGCAGAAGGGCCTGGAACATATACCAAATCTACCATCTATCCAACAAGATATTCACCGGTATAAACTCAATGCAACACACAGCACCCTTAACAGATAGGGTAGATACTGATTAAAAAACGTTGAAATGTTCACGGGCCCCATAGAAGAAATATGTGGACCATGAACATCCATACCAGCAATAACAGTCCTCATAGAAAATAACATCCCTTGCACATCCCGCAAGGGTAGGCTCAAAAAGATACTAGAAAGGTTGACACAAGTTCTAAACATATATATACATATCAAGTAAAAATAACTTTCTTCACTCCAACGACGCTTCTAGCAGCCATACACCCTGTTACCATGGTTCCAAATTTTGATGATTCCAGCAGAGGATAGTATGTTGGGATCAGGCCCAGTGTTGCTTCCTGGAGCAGAGGACTCACTTAGTTAGAAAGCTGATAACTCTAGGATTTTTAAAGTCAAATCAATGTTCAACTGGTGCGGATCACTTTGGGGTCCAGATTTAGCCTTACCTCTCCTTATTTGGAATAATCATGCTTCTCCAAATGCACAGTTTTGCACTTAGCTGGTTTCGAAGGATAGATTAAAATACATGATGGTGTAGATCTGCTGTGCCCCTGCTGCTTAATGTGGCCTACTGGTATTGTGTGTAATGTTGTCGTGCCTCTGTTGATGTTACGTGTATGGGTTAGTAGGAGCAACTTTGTCCTTGGAGGGCAGCACCACCCCTCAGTGGTCTGGTATATACTCTGCAATGTCTTGGTGATTTATTTCAATCTAAGGCAGATCAGGACTTTGTTGTTGCTGCTGTATTATGGCTCTGTCTGTTCTGTATCTGTGACTACCTGGGCTGATCTTTTGCTTATGTTTTCACTTGAGCCTATTATTGCTGATATTTACTAGAGCCTGTGCTGATCTGCTCTGTGCTACAGTGATCTGGTTTGGAGGTTTGATCTAGTTCTGCCCTGTCTACCTGTGCTGATATGTCATTTAACTGTAATAGAATTTGATAATTCCATGAAGTCTTTGTGTGTTTGTGTTTTTTTCTTTAGGTATCATAGTGAGAAATTTACCTTAAATTTTATAAGTATTAGAGCATCAGGCTTGTTATATTTGTTTTAGGGCCTATATTAGCCAGATAAGATTTAAAAACACTCTTGTATTAGGTTAGTTATGGCAAAATAAATTTTGACATTATTATAATACATCGCTTGATGTAATAATTTCATGTCAACAAGTTATAAAATAGTATTATCTGGACTACAAAATGGTTTGAGGTATTGCTGATGGAGTCTGTTATTGCTGATTTGCTTTTCTGGAATGGTGGCACTTTGGTCTGTTCTTTGGCTACCACACTTTCCAGCAGCCACTTTGCCTAACCCCATGCTTCATTTATTTAGTAAAGCCTATCAAAACAGGTAGTATGAACATCTACTATATACAGGAAAGGATGCTACAATATCATCCAGAACATAGCACCAACAAACATTATAAAAGCTCACTACACCCAACCCACAATATAGAATCTCACAACACTCAAAATACTTATGCTCAAAGTAACTGCACAGAAAAGAGGATATAGTATGCAAGAATATTTCAAAAACACTCAATGTGGCCATTGACAAGTGGGTATGGATTTTTATTCTCCTCCCAAAACTCTCAACCCACAGATATTGGTTTCTCACACTCACAGTTTGCATATCAAGCTTATCCAAGTACCTACAGAATGAGCAAACTTGAGAGAAGCTTGGAGCTAGATCACTGCCAAATCCAACTGAGAACAACAAAAAATTTGATAAAATCAGATCAACAATATCAGGACACAGAATTTGATTAAATCGGATCAACAAGTTAGCCTACAGAAATGATGTACACAGAATTTCTCCTTTAGAAGCTTAGAAACAGAGTGTCGATGCATATAAAAACATAAAGTGAGAGAGAAAAATAGATATCAGTAAGAGAGTCAGTTTTTATTGAGAAAATTTGGTAACTAAATCCAACAAACATATCTTATAATGACCTGTCTGCCTTCAGACACAAAGTACTATCATATATGAAGGTTTGATGCCTCTACCCTAATCTAAGTTATATGCTTCACCTATAATGTTAACCAAAACTTTAAATTTTAAATTATGAAACCCGTACCAGACTAGTGTTGGCACGAATTCCACTATTGTCGTAGAAGATTAGAGAGGGAAAAAGTGAATGAACAAGCATTAGATGACATAGATAGAGAGGCACGAATTCCTGTGTGTTAGTTGTTTTTTTTATTTATTTTTTATTTTTTTATGTTTATATATGTGAATGTTAAGACTGTCTACCCTATGTTTTGATTGAAGTCACTGAACTTTGTAATATTTATGTTTTATTGGTTATGCTGTTAATTAGTTGAAATGTTGGACGAGCTTATGAATAGTTGGAAATTATTTTTGTTTATGTCCGATTGCTGTCGTATATGTTGATTAAGCTTGAAAAAACATGATATATATAAATATATATACATATGGTTCTGTAACTATGATCTGATCTCATATAGCCTTTTATGCAAAACTCTACTTCACAAGCTCTAGATGTACTTAGCTAATTCCAACATTGATTAAGACAATCATCCATTGCTTAAAGAATAACAACCATCATTAAAGGAACAAAACAATCACATCATTTGGGTAAAGTACCAAAATATAAATTTCACAACCTTAAAATATAGCATAAAAAGCTTAAGTTCTAAATTTGTCCATGTAAAGGTCAAAATAATCCCCATTCACTCAAATACCCCAGTCCTTCACCTATGAATTTCTCATCCTTCAAGCTTGCTTCTCATACAAATTTGATCCTTCTTCTTCATAAAGAAGCCTGCAAAAGAACAATTAATTAGATCCTCATGGTCAAAAGATAAATTAAAAAAAATAAAAGTACGTGCATCTGAACAATCCATAAGCCCAAGCGATTCAAGCTTGGTTTCATACCCAATGAAGTAATAAAGTTCACATCATTCAAGAATTAAATATCCAAGTTAGTAACTTTAGATTGATTATATAAGTAAATCAACAGACACACACAAAAAAAAAAAAAAAAGTTATCATAAATATGAAATAGAGAGTATCTCTTTATATGCAAGATTAAAAAATTAAAATGAGTAGAATGCCAATATTTTAGAGTTCTTTTTTTAAATCCATTGCCACTATATTACTTGGTCTAGCATATAAAAGTAGAACACAAGTCATTTGGTTCTATCATCTATCTTATCATTACTTTCTGGAAATAAGAAATAAATTTTAAAAAAAAAAAAATCCAAAAAGAGTTCAAAATCATCATAGAAGATCCAAGATCACAACAATTCACATCATGCTAAAGGATTTAGTCAAATAAATTACTAATTTTTGGCTCCAAAAAAAATTAGACAACGGAATTTAAGGTAAACAACATTTTATAGTTACTATGGTTAATCTGATATAATTTTTATACTCATTATGTGCTATATGTGGATATACCCAAGAATTGAAATATCTCATAAATAGGGAGCACCTTTCAAAGTTGTATCCAAACACCTTGCAAAGGCCTCGAATCAAAGAAACTCATGTAAATCAAGAATTTCAATTTTCAATAGTAATACCATAAATTTAGAAATTTTATTGACAAATTACTAAATATTAATATGTGATTTAGATTCATTCTATACATGGACCTCACAATACACACTTTTAATCTCCACCAAACACTTATATTCTTGACACAAATGTGAAAATTTATGTCTCGGTTCCTAGATTACACCACTTTCAAAACCAGTTCTTATAACATTCATTACCATTAGTTGTTCGTTGAATAGAAATTATTAGTACAAGAAAATGAATTGTATATTATACCCACACCCACACACACACATATATATATACACAAAAGCAAAATTAACTTAATTCATAAATTATAGCAAACCAACATACATACATCGAATCACTCCAAGAAAACTACAAAAAAAAAAAAAAACTCACAATTTGTTCGCCGAATCTTCTCTTTTCTCTACTGCACTTAAGATCAATTAATGGCCTTTGAGGCTTCTATATCAAATCCAATAGAAACTATAATCAATATTTATTACACATAATTGATAAGTAGAATTGAGAGAGGGAGAGAGAGAGAGAGAGAGAGCGTATTACCTTTGCGTTAAGAAGAAAAATACTGAACCATGAAACTTTATGGAGCAAGAGTCCTAGTAGTATTGTTTTGGATTATCCACAATGAGAGAGAAATTAGGAAACTACTTGAAAGTGGGATCATGGGATACCTTTAGTGCTAAAATTTTGGAATTTACATTTTAATATTTAAGATAGCATTATGTTTTCATTTATAACATTTACAAAATGTCATTAAAATCATAAACAAACTTAATTTTTAACAACAATTGTAAAAGGCTATTAAAATTAGAATAAATGCTATAGAAAATATAGTGTTATCACCTAATATTATATTATTAGAAAATACAGTAGATGTATTGTCATGACCCGAACCCGCCCCTATAGGATAAGGACATAACTGGCCAGTAATCACGAGATTACCTACGACCTCAAACTAAATAAGACATAACTCATCAGAGTAAAGGGGCCAAATGGAAGCAAATTTAAAACTTTGTCCTTAGAGCTGTGCTTATGTGGCACGTCATAACAAACCATGCATATACATGTTAATAACTCACATCAAAATATGTACTAACACAAAGTTCTGTACATAAAGGATCATTCAAGTCTAGGTCAGCCAATCAAAACTATATATAATCGTAATCCAAAGTTCTCGCCAACATGACAAAATAAAACAAGATAGCAAAAGGGCGAAGACAAGTCTCATGCGTGAGACGTAATGTCTGACTCTTCAAAACCTTGGTTGTTCCACACAAACTTCACTGAGGCCGGGTTTGGACCTCTCTTGGCTCACCTACAAACACATGAATGAGCATGAGCGAAAGCCCAGTGAATAATATCAAATAAAGAAGTTACACGAATGGTACTTAGAACAATATACACCAAACGGCCTCGGGCCAAATTCATATTTCTATTAGGTATATATATATAGGTCAGGTGACTGCGATTCCAAACACATCAAATGGCCTCGGGCCCAATTCGTTCATGTCCGACGGCTTTTGGCCCAATCATTCCTGTCCGACGGCCTTTGGCCTAATCAATTTGTGTCATACGGCCTCTGGCCCATTCACTCATGTCATACGGCCTCTGGCCCATTCACTCATGTCATACGGCCTCTGGCCGATTCATTTATGTCATGCTATCATTCGAGTCAGACTATCATTCATGTCATACGGCCTCTGGCCCATTCGTTTATGTCAGACTATCATTGGAGTCAGACTATCATTCATGTCATACGGCCTCTGGCCTATTCATTTATGTTAGACTATCATTCAAGTGAGACTATCATTCATGTCATACGGCCTCCGGCCCATTCATTCATAGCAAATGGCCTTAGGCCCAACCATACGACATAACATACATTTGTCCACAATTCAAATCAACAGACTCATAAAGCTTATAGAGGAATAAGGAATTGGACAAATAACATATTTCAAAATATCTTTATTAAGATATTACTCACAGTGATCGGCTGGGTGATTTGCCCTGCAGCTTGACCCTACACATTATATAACACACATGGGTCACAAACGATTCAATCCGTTCTTAATTCATACATCCCTCTTAGGCTTCTTTCTTATTCTTTTAATTCATTAATAATGCTCAATGCATGCCTAAGAGCACTTAGAAGTGAAAGAGAACGGAAAACGAAATACAGAACATCTTTACAAAATTTCTGAAATAGGGGTCCCCGCTCGAGCGTGGACTTCCCTACTCGAGTGGACCCATTAGGTCTGTAAAAGTACTGGTTTCCTTATTTTTACGCTCGAGTGTGAATTCGGACGCTCGAGCTGAAGGTCACTCTACATGGCTCCCCGCTCGAGCGGACATCCATGTCTGCAAAAAGTTCTGGGAGCTCGCATTTCCCGCTCGAGCGGCGCCTTCCCCGCTCGAGCGGACATGCCAAATTCTGGAAGATCCAGAATTGTTCTTGAGCTCCAAACTTGCATCCAAATCAACATATCTTGCATATTATGACTCAAACTTCACATATACACTTACTGACATGATCCAATACCAAATTCATTACATTATGAAGCTCAATTTCATGAATTAATCACATGCATGTCCCAAATTACACCAAACTTATTTCCAACATAACAATTTCATGCATTCAAAACTCATACTCTTATGAATTTTGCATGCATGTGAGATATGGCTCTCATTCTTAATTTAAATGATGATGAGATGATCAAAAGCATGAACTTCAATCAAGGATTCAACATTGATCATGTCTTTCAAGCTCAAACATACAAATTCATGGCAATCTCCTACATGCATGTGTATATTGATTCCCAATTCACCAAAACCAACTCTATTTCATCATAATCAATTCAATTCATGTTCTTGATCATTATTCAACCTTGAATTCACAAAATCACAAACTCAAACTCATAAATTTACTCACCTAGGAGTTTTAATCTTCACCAATTCTAGTTGAATCTTGAGTCCAACCTTCCAATTTTCACAAACTTGAGCCAAACACACAATGATGTCTTCCCTCTCTCTCAAAGCCGGTTCTCTCTTCCTCTAGAGAGTTGATCTCAGCCAAAATGACTTAAAAGAGAAGGAATTAAGTGTATAATGCCCCCTTTATATGAGCTCTCACAAGCACAATTAATTAAGATTAAATAATTGAGCACTATAACACCAATTTAATCTATTTAATTTGATCCGAATCAATTTTCAATTAAATCTCACCGTAGGCTCTAAAAATTACGCTAATCACAATGGCGTAGTCAATTTCGGTTTCTATGGCCAATAAGGCATTCAATTTTCAGTTTATAACAGTAAGACGAACAGATATTCCTACGGTGAACAGATAGAAATTGAAAACCACATATATTCATATAAATGGCACACAAAATCATATTAGACACATAATCACATTCATAATAAGGTTAATTAGCATAATACGAAATAAGGTTATCACAGTCTTCCCCCCTTTAGGAAGTTTGGTCCTCCAAACTTATTTTACCTTCGTCAGGAAACAAATGTGGATAGCGTAGTCGCATTTCATCCTCTTTTTCCCACGTGGCATCTGCCCCATAGTGTTCTTTCCATTCCACTTTCACCATTGGGATGGACTTGCTTCTCAATTGTTTCACCTGCCGGTCAATGATTCGTTCCGGCCACTCGGCGTACTCCATATTTTCATCAAGAGCTACCCGGTGATAATCAATCACATGAAACGAATCTCGAAGATAACCCCTCAATATTGATACATGAAACAAATTATGGATTTGCTCGAATCCGGGTGGCAAAGCGACTCTATAAGCGACTGGGCCAAACCTTTCCAGAGTTTGAAACGGCTCAATGTAACGGGGCGACAACTTACCCTTCTTTCCAAACTTGACTTGGCCTTTCATCGGAGTCACACGGATAAATACATGGTCACCAACGTCATACTCAAGAGGTCTTCTTCGAACATCTGCATAATTCTTTTTTCGGTCTTGAGCTATTTTGAGCCTTTGCTGAATAGTTTTGATATTCTCAGAAGTGTCTTGCACAATTTCAGGCCCAAGTAAAGCTCTATCCCCGACTTTTGTCCAACAAATTGGTGATCTACACTTTCTACCATACAAAGCCTCGTATGGTGCCATACCGATGCTGGAGTGGAAGTTGTTATTGTATGCAAACTCTGCTAGTGGCAAATAGTCTTCCCAACTCCCCTGAAAATCTAAGGTACACATTCTCAGCATATCCTCTAACGTCTGTATAGTCCGTTCTGATTGCCCAGCTGTCTGTGGGTGGAATGTGGTACTAAGCCTCAATTCTGTCCCCATGGCTTTTTGCAAACTTTTCCACAATCTAGACACAAATTTCAGATCCCTATCCGACACAATAAATATTGGAACTTCATGTAAACGAACAATCTCATCAACATATATAGTAGCCAGTCTATAAGCATCAAATGTAGTTCTAATAGGTAGAAAATGTGCAGATTTAGTCAGTCTATCAACTACAACCCAAACAGAATCCATACCTCGAGGGGTCCGAGGTAGACCAACAACAAAATCCATAGTCACATGCTCCCAGTTCCATTTAGGAATAGGGAGAGGTTGAAGTAGATTGCCCGGTTTCTGATGTTTAGCTTTAACTTGCTGACATTGAAGACATTTGGACACATATTCTGCAATTTCTTTCTTCATTTTAGGCCACAAATAGCTTTGTTTCAAGTCCTGATACATTTTATTGTTACCCGGATGCATAACAAACACTGATTTATGGGCTTCACCTAGAACCCTTTTCTTTAGTTCTGGAATATCTGGGATACACATTCGGTTTTGAAATCTCAACACTTCGCCTTCGATGCTGAACTCTGCTTTCGGACTTGTCTCAAATTCATCAATCACTTTCTTGAGGAATTCATCCTCTTTTTGTTTCTGTTTAATCTCATCAATGATCGCCAGTTCGGCTGAAATAGCGGCTATCAATCCGCCCTGTTCACACAATACCACTTTAATCTCAGACTTCTCAAAATCTTGCAAGATCTCTTTCTGTTCCATAAGCAAACAAGCCATACTCCCTGTTGATTTTCTCCTCAAGGCATCAACAATTGTATTAGCTTTCCCGGGATAATACTGAATCTCAAGATCATAGTCTTTTATCAATTTAAGCCATCTCCTCTGTCGCATGTTCAACTCCTTCGGCGTAAAGAAGTATTTCAAACTTTTGTGATCCGTGTAGACTTCACACTTTGCCCCATACAAATAATGCCGCCAGATTTTCAAAGCAAAAACAACTACGACCAATTCTAAATCATGTGTTGGGTAGTTCTTCTTGTGTGGTCTCAACTGTCGAGAGGCCTAGGCAATTACCCTCCCGTTCTGCATTAGCACACAACCCAAACCTTTATAAGATGCATCACTGAAAATTACAAAGTTTTCCGTACCTGTGGGCAATGTCAATACTGGTGCAGTGGTCAGTTTTGTTTTTAGTTCATGAAAGACAGATTCTCTTTCGTCATTCCATTCAAATGGTTGCCCTTTGCGTGTCAGTTGGGTAAGAGGTACAACGATCCTTGAAAAGTCTTTCACAAACCTACTGTAATAACCGGCTAAGCCCATGAAACTGCGGACTTCTGTCACATTTGTCGGTGTAGGCCAATTCACAATTGCCTTTATTTTCTGTGGGTCCACTGA